ATATTATGTGTTTACGATAGTGCGATAGGATTTCTGCCTTATATCGAATGCTCAAAAATGTTTATACAACGTTAGTTTTGATTCAGTAGTGATTCTATGCCATTCACTTTTTATTCACAAACATTTTCGATTAGTTTTACGTCTAAACTACGTTTTCCTATTACTTGATATATTTTTAATGCATGAATTCAACTGTAATCGCCTCTCATTTTTTCTATGAATAAGCGAGTAGGGAAATGTGATGGAGTTAGAGATATTTGCTAGGATATACCCTAGACACATTGGTTTCGTGTTATTTGACACTCTTCAGTAAAGCATGCTTGTAACCTTGAGAGAAATGATGCTGCCTATTGGATTCGATTCAGTGTTACCCAAGTTCACAATCAGAAACGTTGCTACTGTGTTAATCCTACTTCGATTAGACTTCTGTATACGTGAGATGTATCTACTATTGATCTTTTGTTGAATAGTGACCGGTTTTTCGGTATATTCAGTTCAAATAGCAAGCGTTTTTTGTCAACTTCCTCCAACCATCTTACACCTAAACATAGTACGCCCGATATCGAGACACTGTTGGTCACATTAAAAGTTGAATAATAGAATTCGGTCAGTACTATAAACGTGGAGGGAAATATTTCTCATTCCTTATTCTGGTTGCGTTTGGATAGGAAATATTTATTGAGATATTTACCCGGTCAGAAAATAAATGACCTTGACGTTTGACCGATACACCAACATTGATTGATCAGTAGAAAATCTCTATTCTTACTTGAATGCTTTAGTCAACAAGCCACATACTTTCTTATATTCTTAAAAATATTTTAATTATAGTATTTCTTCATGAAAAAGCACAAATATTTCATCCCAAATAATTATTCTTGTACAGTGCCGTAAATAATTTCCATACATAAATTAATATCTTTGATGAAAATAAAAGGTATGTACACACCACTGACTAGCTTGGACAGGAAATTCTCGAAATTGTCGTTAGGAAATGAGTAATAGGTAGGGACGGCAAATCAATAGATGAAGTAATGAAACTTCATCAGTTGAGGTGGTTGGGACATGTGTTACGTATGGCTAACTACCGACCGCCGCAACGAGCTATGTTTTGCAGTGTAGGAGTAGATTGGAAAGGAGCTAGCGGTGGCCAAACCAAAACATGGCAGAAATCAATGAAGTCACTGACAAGTGGACTGAGTCATGTTGGTAGATATAGGCTACGTGGTTGGGGTCCGCGAGACGATAGTCATCGATGGTTAGAGACCTTGAATGACATAGATCAGAATCGTTTGCAATGGCACAGGTGCATCCACTCTTTGTGTTCTATGAAATTCTAAGCTTCTGCATTCCTCATAATGTCTACCTTTCTCTTCCTAAATTTATCTTACTGAATTATACTTTTCGAATGATATCTTCGCTCCCTAATCTTCTCCATTACTGCTTATACTTCTGTTATTGCTATCACTCTTGGATTTGAACTGACAGTTTCGTCTCTGTGTTGATGGGGCATGGCAACCTGAACTGATGTACTTACGTACGAAGTTCTGCGTTGTATCTGTCTGTCTGCATGGAAATTCTCAAACTTTTAGTAACAAACCGTCACCCATGGGATTCAACCGTGTCGAGTGTGAAGCAGTTATTACCCACCAAAGCCAATGAAAGATGGTTGGTGGGTTGCACAATGTTTTGGATTGATTAAAGTTAAACATTACCACTGTTAAGTGCTAACTCATTGATATGGGTCTTCACTTCCAATTCAGTGATCTAACTTAAATCCGTTCATGATCTCACCAGAACGCTATAGTGATAATTTTACTTGTTTAGTTTTGTAACTGAAATTAATATTTCTAATTCATTGACCTAGAAAACACAAACCTTAAATTATGTAAATTGAAAAAAAAGCACAACCATTTTATGAATTTAAAACATGTGAACCAAAAAGCAACAATGAATAGCTCAATGCTTAAATCACTCATTCTTTCGACAAATCAGTTGAAAAAACAATTGAATTGTTTTTTTCAGTTGTTTGTGTAGTTTGAATAACTTTCATATTAAAAAAAAATGATTCTATATTATGTACACTTAAATTTAATCCTTCATCATTGGGTTAATGTTGGGGATGTTAGATCCCCCAGAACTCGCTTGTTAAATGCCTTATTTTGGTTTTCACGTTTCCCAGCATGGGCCGATCAGTTGACCTTGAGACTTCATTTCCCACCAGGAAAATCCATGGCTGTGATTGGCTGCTGTGTATTTTAGTGTGCTATTTTCGTAACTGTCCCAAGGACGTTTCTATGATGTATAAATAAACGAGAGTTGTATGCTTGATTGTACTGTGATTGCTGGATGTTTGTAGAATATACTTTCTACACTTACAAAGGCCTTCTATCTTCAGCTTGGGATTCAAGGTAGCCTACCTGGACACTGGTTCATTGTCTCGTTCGCGTTTATCGACTAAGGTAAACTCGTAATAGCCTCAAGCACACTTAGTGACGAACATAATAGTTAATATCAAAGTTTTTTGTCACTGGTAACATTCGGTGGTTTTAGTCAATATCCAATGTTGGTGCATTGAAAACATATTTTCTTTTTTCTCAGTCTTTTAATTCCGTTGGTTTTCGGTTTTCCTTTTCTACACTTCTTAATTTAATTAATATATTTACTGCTTCCTCTTTTCCCATCATTCTATTTTTTTTTAAATAATAACTTTAATTAAATCAATGCTATACAAGTAACCTTTTTCTTCTTTTAGTTGTGTCAACCATAAATCGATATGTATTTATATTTTATTTGCTTACATCAAGTTGAATTTATATGGATTGTATTGTTTCAGTCAGTCAGTCAGTCAGTCAGTCAATCACTCTACAATGCAGAGCGTGGTACCTAGGTACATCAGTTCAAGTTACCATACCACTTTAGTACAGGGAGACGGAATTTTCAATCCAAATACCGTAGTGGTAGAAGTTGTAGAAGCATTATCGGTAATAGAGAAGATTAGAGTTCAAAGATATTATTCAAGAAGTATAATCCAATGAGTTAAATTTAACCAGAGAAAAATAAACGGTCATGAGGAATTTGGAAGATTAGAATTTAAGAGAAGATAAATGAAATACATGCATCTGCGCCATTGCAAACAATTTTGAGCCATTCCAGTCGAAGTCGTTAACCATTGGTTACTGTTGTCTTCCTAATCCAAACCTGGTAATCTAAACCTACGAACATGGCTCAGACCAGTTGTCTGTGACTTCATAGATCGGTGCTGTGTTTCGCTTTTGACGCCCCCTGGCTTTTTCCCAGCCTACCTCGACACAAGACAACATGCCTCATCGAAGTAGTTAGTCATAATACATTTTGTTTAAATGGTCAGTTAAATAGTTCTCGAGAAATGGTTCGTTTTTAAAATATCTTTGGTAACAAATGCTTCTTTTTTTAGAAATTTAATATTCTTGTTTGTTATTTCCGGATTTGGTATGCATAAAATAGTTGTTGAGTAAACTGTCTTTTAGGCACTGAATCATTTATAACTGAGAAATATTTTAAATCATGAAGTTCAATACATTTTCATTTCTGAGTGTCATCATCTGTTTTGAAAAATATGCACTATAGACATGGAGAGAGAGAGATAGAGTGAGTTGATCGATGTCAGTCAGTCAATCAATCAAATCAATCAACAGCAACGTAGAACTTCGTACGCAAATACATCAGTTCAAGTTGCCATATCACATTAGCACAGAGATGTAATTGTCAATTAAAATCTTATAGTAGTAAAGGCAGTGAAAGTATTAGAGGTAATCGGACAGTTTAGGGTTCGAAGAGATTATTCAAGAAGTAGAATCTAGTGAAATAAACTTAAAAAGAAAAAGATAAGGAATTCGGGAGGTTAGGATTTGAGGGGCATAAAGAATGAATGCACTTGCACCATTGCAAACGATTTTTAGCCATGTCATTCATCAGTCAGTCAATGAATATTTCTCACTGTCCAAAAGTTCATTGCAAATCGTTTAAATCCTATACAATCTTTAATCCTATAAAAATTCTAATTGTATTTTATCATAAATATTCTCTATTACATAATATATAGTTATATTATTTCATTTCTAGCATGGAGATAGATAAACAATTTTTAATCATACCATGTATTCAATTCTTCCAAACACATTTTCTTTTCTAATGATTTCTTATGATTAATAGTTTTTTCTGTGTTAACTGTTCTTTGAAATCATTAATCGAGCAATATTAGAGCACACCATTAGAAACCTGGAAGCATCGGATGGTCGTTTTGTTCTAGTATGGGACTCATCGTTGTTAGACATGAACAACGTTTGATGCCACCTCGTTGGTCTAGAGGGTAAGCGTTCACTCGCATGCAAGACAGTAGGTCATGGCAGAAATCCATGAAGTCACTGACAAGTGGACTGAGTCATGTTGGTAGATGTAGGCTATCTGGTTGGGATCTGCGAGATGAACGTCACTGATGGTTAGAGACCTTGAACGACATGGCTGAGAATCGTTTGACATGGCGCAGGTGCATCCAGTCTTTTAGTTCTCACATATCTTAATCTTCGGAATCGGTCATCACTTCTACATTTCTCTTTCTAAATTTATCTCAGTGAATTATACTTCTCGAATCATATCTTCACTCCTTACTGCTAATAATTCTACTATCGCTATGACTCTTGGATTTGAACTGACAGTTGCTTCTCTGTGCTGATGTGGTATGGAAACCTGAACTTATGTACTTACGTACGAATTTTTGCTTTGTATCTGTCTCTCTGTCTGTCTGTCTGCATTCGCTCCCCGCGAGTGTGGATCGTGAATGTGCACTTCCACTGATGAGTAGTAGTCCCATACCATGATGAAAATGCCTTTCCAGTGCTTCCAGGCTTTTAATACTAGTGTCTAACATTGATCGATTCATGATTTCAGTAAAACTCATTGATCGTCAAAAACGTTATCATTAAAAAATTTCCCTTGTTTTTTCTGTTTTATTTCAATAGGTTGAATGTGCATGTCGACGAGCTTTAACTATCTATGTGAAACATTATAAACCATCATCATCTATTATACGTAAAGCTAAAAATAATTTGGTATGTTTTATTGTTTTCTCTTTTATTCTGTAAAGTGTGTTTTTTCTGAAGAAAATCTTATGTGAATAAAAACTAAATAGATAGATAGATAGATACAGCGCAGAACTTCGTATGTACGTACGTACATCAGTTCAGGTTGCCATACCACATCAGCACAGAGATGCAACTGTCAGTTCAAATTCAAGAGTGATAGCGATAGTAGAAGTATTAGCGATTGCTGTCATATAAATAAAAAAAGAAGAAAACACTGTAAGAGCGCTTTTCTTTGCTTTAAAAGAAAACCTGCAACAGTGATTAACCTTAATTTTGTATGACTTACACATAAAATACTTCAACATTACATTACATGGTTGTGGAGATTGTTAGGTTACTCATTGAAATCATGGATCGATCAATGATATACCACCATTAGAAACCTGGAAGCACTGGATGGCTGTTTCGTCCTGGTATGGGACTCATCAGCAGTGCGCATCCACGATCCCTGCACCTCGCAGGATTTGAACCCAGGACCTTCGATATTGCGCGCGAACTCCTAACCTTTGAACCACTAAGCTGGAACCTAACGGTCTTAAAGTCTAACTTCGATCACTTCACGCAGTTGCGCAACCTCATACACTGCCTTCGGTAGTTAATGTTTACACCGGAAAAGGGTTGAACTCTACTGGTCACGACTTCTCACTAGAACTCGAAGATTCCTCACTGAGCTATTCACTAGTAGTGAGCACAGGTGGTTATGAAAATTGTTCAACATTAGTTAATGAGATCAAGTAACTTTTTGAACTCTATATGGTACACATTGTAAATTTGTGACGAAAAATTTATACTTGTCAAAATAGTGCATGTCTGATTATTAAATGGGACCGCCCTGGAGGTGTATAGAACATACAATGAGGAAAGCACCTAATTGCATCACAGGGCAAACTTTCAATAGGAATCCTCAAGGCTAAAGAACGCAGTACACGTCGAGAATCAAGAGCAGACATGAAAAGAATGAACAGCAATTGTATACAGCTAGAAAGGAAGACTCAAAACAGAGTAAGTTAGAGGATGCTAGTCGGCGGCCTATGCTTCATTAGGGATAACAGATGTAAGTAAGTAGTATATAGATATACTTAAATTGTTTATTTGTTTAAAAACATATTTTCTATCTTCTTTTCTTTCTCTTTAGGCTTCTGCATTAGTAAAACTTGGCAATTTAACAAATGCTGAATCTCTATTAAAATCAGTATTAACACCAGATGGTATTTTATGCAATTCAATAAAACAACAACAACACAACGATCATTCAATGAATCATTTTTTGCCATCTGAACATATTACTGAACATGATTCCGCTATCTATTCATTATCTTCACTTGGTAGTAGTCATATGAGTAATTGTAGTAGTAGTATGATGATGATGATGAATGGTGGTTATCATAATGTTGGCATTGTCTCATCATCATCATTATCAATACTGAATGGTAGTAGTAGTATTAGTAGTAGTGTTGTTCTACCATGTGATGATCATTCCTCGACGGAACAATCTATGCACATGAATAATACATTGAATCGTACTGTTCATCCATTATGGATAATATTAGAACAAACTATCAAAAATCATGATAATATTGATGTCAGTCGAAAATTTTCACTTGTCAAATGGGCTTCCGAAGCTAGAATAGAATTGTAAGTGTTACTCTATTGTGGATTTTTCTTTTTGTGTCGAATAAGATAATGATTGAATAATGAAATTGCATTGCGGGGTTTTTGTGAAGATTGTTAAGTTTTATTTGTAACCATGAATCGATCAATGTTAGACCACCATTAGAAACCTGGAAGCACTGGATGGCCGTTTCGTCCTGTTATGGGACTCATCAGCAGTGCGCATCCACGACTTCTGCATCTTGCAGGATTCGAACCCAGGACCTTCGGTATTGTGCGCGAACGCCCCAACCGTTAGACCACTGAGCCGGTATCTAACCGTATTAATGTCTAACTTGATCAAATTCACGGAGTTGCGCAACCTCATACCCTGTATACATCCGAACAGGTTTGAACTTCACTAGTCACGACTTCCCACTAGAACTCGGAGAAGGTTCATCACCAAGCTAGTTACTAGTGGACAAATGTAATTGCATTGCGGGGTTGTTGTGAAGGTTGTTAAGTTTTATTTGTAACCAACGATAAACAAATCAGAAAGAAAGGGAAAATAAATCTTATCCATTTGTTTGTGAATAACTTGATTTCAATTCAAGCGCTACACAATTAATTTTGATGTAGTTCATGTATAACAAGTTATATTTTCATAGATAAAAAAAACACGACTCCTGCTCCTCGCAGGATTCGAACACAGCGGAACCTTCGGTATTGTGCGCGAACGCCAAACCATCGGACCGCTGTTAATGTCTAAATCTGATTGATCTAAAGATTTTGCGCGACCTCACCCGTTTGTCTATGGTAGTTACCGCCTACACCCGACAGGGTTGAACTCCATTGGTCACGTGTTCTCAACTAGAACTCTGAGAATTTCCTCAGGAAGCTAGTCACTAGTGACACTGTTACGATATTTTGGGGCAGTGTTTTGGAGGTTTTTGTTGGATGCCGGCCCAGTGGTCCAATGGTTAGGCGTTCGCACACAATACCGAAGGTCTCTGGTTCGGATCCTGCAGGGTGCAGGAGTCGTGGTTTTTTTATCTATGAAAATATAACTTGTTATACATGAACTACATGAAAATTAATTGTGTAGCGCTTGAATTGAAATCACCTTATTCACAACCATATGGATAAGTTTTCGTTTCGCTTTTTTCTCTGATTTGTTTATCGTTGGTCAATTTACATTATCGTTTGATTGTTTTTAAACAAACCATTATTAAAATGTGCATTTCTTGTGTGCCGTATATTTTCAGTTGTATTCTTGTGATATTTTCAATGACATTTTGTTATTTGTATGTTTTTTTTCTAAAAAAATGATATTTTCTGTTGTTGTTGTTGTTGAATATAGATTTTTGTAAAATTATTTTTTGATGGAAATTCATTTTTAATCACTGATACATTTTTATTTCGTAAAATCAGAATTAAATAAGTGAATTTACCTACCACAATGTTATAGTTATACAATTGTGAAATGTATTCATATTTTGATAAAAGTGTGAGAAGACGTAATTGATCTGAAAATAGGTGATGTATTTACGTCCTATACATTTCGAACAATCTGGTCACACATATGTGCCTGCCTTTTCAATATGCCTCAAAGGATTTGCACTATGGATACATTTGAAGTCGATGCGAAATTCTTGACTGAAACATTGATTTCAATCGGTTATCCGCTAAAGTTCATCAATAGGTGTAGAAATCAGTTTAGACAAAAGCCTGTTTTTCATTTTGCTGAAAAGAAAAATGTTTAAATCACTTTACCATTTAGAGGCGATTCGAATGGTCTAATCTTACGACAGCGACTAAAAGCAGCCATAGAGAAAACATACTACATTGTTAAACTGACTATAATTGAAACGTCTAAGCCCATGTTTCTAGATAGGCCTAGATATTGCTCGAATGATTACATCATATCCGATTGCATTTATCGATTTGCATAGATAGAGAAGAGTAATCGGACTTTGCAATCAAGAATTATGGAAGATGTACCCAAGTGACTTCAGAATCAGTTAACGTCAGATGAGCCGATAAATGTGGGAAATAGAAAACCTTGTTCATCGATCGCAAAACATATAATTGAGACAGGGCACAAGATTGACATCAAGACAGCCTTCAAAACATTGAATAGGAATGTTGAAAGATAAATTTTGAGGTTTATGAAGGCCTTGGTTATTCGTAAATTTAAGCCCTCCTTATGTGTACAGAAACAATTTGTTATAACCTTGAATTTTTCTTGATAATCTTTAAGCCTATGGTAATGTGACACTTTCCTACCCTTTCTAATTCTTTCTATATTACGTTCATTTTCTCTCTCCTTTATTTATTTATCCCCCATTATGTCTATTTGAACTTTTTATTTAATTGACCTTTTATTAATCTTCATATAAAATGCCTTGACAAGTAAGTATATGTGTGATCAGATTGTTTGAAATGTGTACAGCGACATTTTTCAGATCAATTACGTCTTCCCATTGTTCTATCAAAATTTATAAAAGGGACTGATTGTTTTATTCATATTTCATTTAAACTCATCTAATGTAGGTACGGAACACTTGTTTCTATAAATACAATCATTCTTTCTTACCGGTTATAGCTACCTAGCATTACTTATTGAAATAGCAGTTAGTTAACCTTTAAAAAGGTATAACCATTCTTGATGAAGCTTATTTCTCTATTTCGATGATGATGTATGCGAATCATTTTCATTTATGTTATTATTATTATTATTATTAGTGAGTGGTATCTTCAAAATGCTACACAATGACTATACCCCTAAAAATATTTGCGTAAATCTGACTTTGTTACTAAACTACATACATTAAAAGAAACTTTCTTTTGAACGCTTATTTTATTAGTTTCTTAGCAGCATTATCATCGTTACAAATATTGTTTATTTTCTCTTAAAGTTTGAATTTAACATGATTGCATGCTTTATCGTTTTCAAACTCATTCGTTCCTTTTAAATTTAAATCTCTTGTAATCAACTTTCCACTGTAGTTGATATATATATTCACAATTTCCGTCCTCCTCTTATCTGATTAATTTCTCTTAGATGGGATAACGTGAAATATGAAAAATTCACTGAAATTAAACACTCATCATCATCAACAGCAACGTAGAACTTCGTACATACGTACGTACGTACGTACATCAGTTCATATTGCCATACCACATTAGCACAGAGATATAATTTTCAATTCAAATCCAACAGTAGTAGAGGCAGTAAAAGTAATAGCAGCAGTCGGAGAGGTTAGGATTAGAAGATATTAATCAAGAAGTAGAATCTAGTGAAATAAACTTAAAAAGAAAAAGATAAGGTGCTCACCGAAGATGGTGTATGAGGTTGCGCAAGATCGTGAATTGATCGAAGTTAGACATTAACACCGTTAGACGCCGGCTCACTGGTCCAGAGGTTAAGCGTTCGCGCCCAAGACCAAAGGTCCTGGGCCCGAATCCTACAAGTTGCAAGAGTCGTGGATGCTTACATTACTGATGAGTCTCATAGCAGGATGAGACGGCCGTCTTTCAGTGCTACCATGTTTCTAATGTTGGTCTAATATTGATCGATTCATGATTTCAAAAAGATATTTAATTCTAATATTTTACATTGATTATATTTTTCATAATCGGATATATTTCATATTGTATCTATTAATTAATAAGAATTCATCAATAAATAAATTTAATTCATTATTTTTATTTCTCATATGATTAACATTTATACACAATAATTTTACATGAAACTGCTCATGAATACAATCACTATCATTTTTGTCATGCGAAAATTAAAAAAAGAAAAATAGAAACTATAATTTCCACATCCGATCCCTACATCAAATTATTCGTTTTTTAATATTGACGAATGAATGTTCGTTCTCATACAATTCATTTATTTTGTTTTAATGATCTAATTTGATAATATGAATCAACGATAAATAAATGCACACATTCAAATAATATTTGATTGTATGCATTGTTTTATACTATTATATATATATATATATATATATATATATATATATATATATATATATATATATATATATATATATAATGGGGATTACGTGTGTCTATTTGAATTTTTGACCTTTATATTGCATCATTTCGATTGAATTACTTCTTCTGTGTAAAATGTTCAATAATCATCATTAGAGAAAGAATAAATCAGCTGTTATGACCTATTATTGTGCATACAACGCGTAGAAAATGAATTGATTTGTTTTGGGTTGAATAGTTACAGTTAACATTTAAGTTTATTTCTAAAAACCAAAAAAAAAACAACTTCATGTTGGTTGTACTTTTAATGTATGACGAATATTTGTTATCTATTTGTATTTGATGTGTATTTTATGTTGAAAAAATTCATTTATCTCTACTGATACACACGTCTGGTTGAAGATTAAAACGCAGAACTTCGTAATTACGTACATGAGTTCAGGTTGCCATAACGCATCAGAACAGAGACGCAACTTTCATTCCAAATTCCATAGTAGTAGAGATAGTAGAAGAATTACTGGTAAAGGAGAATATTAGGGATCGAGGACATTACTTAAAAAGTATAGTTCAGTGAGACACATTTAGAACGAGAAAAGTAGCGGCGATGGGGAATTCTGAAGATTAGAATTTGAGTGAACACAATGAGTGAATGCACCTGCACCATCGCAAACCATTTTGATCCATCTCGTTCAAGGTCTCTAACCATTGGTGACTTTCGTCTCTCCGACCCCAAGAAGGTAGCCTACATCTACCAACATGACTCAGTCCACTTGTCACTGACTTCATGGATTTCTGCCATGTTTTGGTTTGGCCGCCCCTAGCTTTCTTCCAAACTACTACACCACAGAGCATCGCTCTTCAAGGCAGCCGGTGGTTGGGCAGTCGTAACACATGTCCCAACCACCTCAACTGATAAAGTTTCATTACTTCATCTATTGACCTGCCATCCCTTCCTAGAACTCGTTTCCTAATTACAGCATTGTTTACTCGGTTTTCCCAGGATATACAAGCAATGCCTCGAAGACATCTATAATCAAATACTAATAACCGACGAATGTCTTTTACTCTTAATGGCCATGTTTCGCAGTCATCTACGAGAACGGAGCGAACTGCTGCACAGTACATTCGTCCTTTAATCAGCGATCGGATATCTCGCCTGTGCCATAATTATCGTAAGTTGGCAAATCCGATCAAGCTTTCTGTCACGCACCAGGCTATCAGCACTGATGAGACTCCTCAGATAGCTTTGATCCTACATGATGCTGTGGATGAGAGTTGTCAATAAATGCTAAAATGTGACAAAATAACTTTCTAGACCAACAATTCATTTTCCGATGGTGTTTTATCAATGACGTCTATCCATAATAAAAAGAAACCCAATCTCAATTTTGTTTAATTGCCTTCAAAAGAAATTTTCTTTTCAAATGTTTCATATTGTCATAGTAAAATAAACATAGTATGTTTCATATACTTTCCTAATTTCAGATCTGTCGTTCATAGTGCAGTACGTAATTTAGCTATAGTTTATCGACGTCAAGGTCTACACTCCCATGCTAATTTATTAAATGAATGGTTAATATTAGATCATGTTTAATTCATACATCTCCATTGACATTTCTCCACTAAATAACCAGCGATTCAATCTGTTCATCCTATTAACTCATATGTAAGTTATTATATGTTTTCTTTTTTCACTGTTTGTTCATGACAATGATTATCTTGTACTGTTGTTTTTTTCCATCTGATTCCGTTGAACTCAAGTTACTTATTGATATAAACACATTTATAGTTTCTATAATTTTCAAATGAAAAGCCTGGATTAGTATGTTTCATCATTTGATTTTAATAAATTCTAAGGAGTTTGTTTAATCTGGAAATAACACTGATTCTCTATACTCGCTTGTCTTCAATGGAACTTGAAGTTGAATCAATATCACGTACAAACATTTTTGATTATTTTGGGTCAAGTTCATTTATGAAGGATAAAATATGAGTTGTTGATGTGAGAACTATTCATTTTGTAATTTTAGTTATGAAGAGTTTTATAACCAGTAAATGAATGTTACCCAAATAGTTAAGTATATTGGTTTTTTGTATGTTGTTATAAGTGACATTTTATTACGTATGAGTGTTAATGATACTAGTCGGTGGTTAATTAAGACGAATTAAACAGAGTGGAACCGACTTTTTAAATGCAAATGAATATTGTAATTTACAATTTGTTGATATTAATAAGTAATGATCAATGTTATGTATATTAACTCTTTCTTGGTTATTGATTGAACTCTGTGTGGATTAAGTTACAATGTGGTATTACTAGTTTAAGCTGTTCAACAACATCACGTCCATCATGTTAAGATGTAAGTTGGTTGGCTAGTTGGACGTGGCTAATGAGAAACCATAACCTGATGTTTTATTCCATTTGGCACTCGTCAAGAATGTGTAATGTAATCTCTTCTATCAACTTCACCAGAGGACAATATCAGTTCTCGCATGATTACAAGTACACCTTGCAGCAGTTCGCTCCGTCCTACTGTACGGATGCGAGACTTGGACGTTAAGAGTAGAGAACTTCCGTAGGTTACTAGTCTTCGATCATCGATATCTCCGAAGCATTGCTTGTGTATCATGGGACAACCGTATGAGCAATGCTATCGTTGGGAAACTAGTTCTAGGTAGGGACGGCAAATCAATAGATGAAGTATTGAAACTTCCTCAGTTGAGGTGGTTGGGACATGTGTTACGGATGGCTAACCACTGACTGCCTCGACGAGCTATGTTTTGTGGTGTAGGAGTAGGTTCGAAGAAAGTTAGAGGCGGCCAGACCAAAACATGGCAGAAATCCATGAAGTCACTGACAAGTGGACTGAGTCATGTTGTTAGATGTAGGCTACGTGGTTGGGGTCCGCGAGACGAAAGTCACCGATGGTTAGAGACCTTGAACGACATGGCTCAGAATCGTTTGCAATGGTGCAGGTGTATCCACTGTTTGTGTTCTCTCTAATTCTAACCTTCTGAATTCCTCATCATCTCTACCTTTCTCCTTCTAAATTTATCTTACTGAATTATACTTCTCGAATCATATCTTCGCTCCCTAATCTTCTCCATTACTGCTAATACTTCTACTATCACTATCACTGTTGGATTTGAACTGACAGTTGCGTCTCTGTGCTGATGGGGCATGGCAACCTGAACTGATGTACTTACGTACGAAGTTCTGCGTTGTATGTGTCTGTCTGTCTGTCTGTCAGGTTCTAAATAGCATGATACCTCAGTCTATGGTTTCCTATCCATTATCTCCAGTCAGTTACTGACTAACTTCCAATATGCAATGCTATAATATTTAACAATGTCATGATATTTTCAAAGATGTAATTTTGTTTAGATAACTCTATACATAGTTATAAACATTAACAGTGAATCCATTCACTCACATGACATCATCATATCTGATATTTGACCTACTTTGTTAACCAGAGATATGTAACCGGTTATTTTGTAACATTCAAATATATTATAAATCATAAAACTTAACATAAGTAACTAATTTACAATTCTCTAAAAGAATTTAACCACATATTTGCCCCTCAATGATGATCACATAGTATTTACATGCATTCCAGAGATGTTTTCCATGTTAACTTATCCCTAATAAATTATGAAATTTAACCAATGTAAGAGAAACACGATGATCAATAAAATAAAATGATTGACATATATTCTGTTTGCATTACGTGGTTGTGAAGATTGTTAAGTTACACATTTTTGAAACCATGAATCGATCAATGTTAGACTACCATTAGAAACCTGGAAGCACTGAAAGACGGCCGTTTCGTCCTGGTATGGGACTCATCAGTGGCAGTGCGCATCCACGATTCCTGCACCCCACAGGATTCGAACCCAGGACCTTCGGTATTGTGCGCGAACGCCTAACCATCGGACCACTGAGCCGGTATCTATCGGTGTTAATGTCTAACTTGATCAATTCACAGAGTTGAGCAACCTCATACACGCTGTCTTCGGTAGTTACTGTCTACACCCGAACAGTTTGAACTTCACTGGTCATGTCTCTAAAATTACTAAGAAACGAATGGATTAGATTTTATTTTTCAAGAAATAATCAAGTCAATACGTTCAGTTAGGATTAAAAATAGATGATTGCTATTCATTTCACTGGTTTTTATTGGAGGATTAATTAATCTGTTGAGAAAATCTATTGATATTTTGTGTTAGCATTCAAAAATTTTTGAGATGGTGGAGAAAATTTTGTAGCTCAGGTGGAAAATTGTGGTGGTGTTTCGTTCTCTCTGAACTGGGTGTTTTGGTTGTGGAGCTTTCATTGTTCTCCTGCTGAACACAACATCAATGGCGGCACAAACTTCAGTTAGCAGAAGTGAAGTATTCGAATTTCACCACATGTGACTAGTAGCTTGTCCTATTAACCTCCATCTTGATCTTAAGGTCAATAGCAACCAATCAAGATCGATCTGCAGTTCGTGTTGATGATTTTGTTCAGCTGTAGAACAATGAAATCTCCACAACCAAAATATCCTGCCTAGAGAACAAAACACCCACATTCATATTTCTTTTAAGATCAGAGAATTCTTAAAATCAGGAATTCTAAGATATATATTTATATCTTTCATTTCACTTTCATTTTCATTAAAAAAGTAGACAATTTGCCTACATTTTAAAAAAATCAAGAATCATTCTCTTTTCAAGAAAATAAAATAGAACTAAGTATATCAAATTTTTTTTTAGGTTCATAATAGCGATATTGTTTGAAAAATGAAGGCAAATAATTATGGTTACATTTCATAATGAATAGTGTTGTTGCGTTCTTCTCATAAATATATTTATTGACTACCGACTTAAACGTTTACTGTCTCGGCATCGAGTTATTACCTATGGTCGCTAACATCTGACAATTCATCTCTGTGAAAATGTGATATGGCAACTTGAACTGATGTACATACGGACGAAGTTCTACGTTATAGCTGATTGATTGATCACTAACATATTCCAAACCTTGACACTATAATACAGAATTCATTAAAATTATGAATCAATCATTGTTTCAATAAGTGGAATTGTGCAATATCACGGGTTGATCAATGTTAGACATTACCACGGTTGGATGCCTGCTCACTGATCTGAAGATTAAGCGTCTTAGCGCCGTTTGCTACACCGAAGGTCCTGGGTTCGATCCCTGCATGCGGGGATTATGGGTGTGCACTGCTGATGAGTCCCAAACTAGGAAGAAACGGCTGTTCAATGCTTCCAGGTTTATGATGGTATTCTAACATTGATCGATTCATGCTTTCAATGAAACTCAATAATCTCCATAACTCTATAATGGAAGTACAAAATTCATCAATTCGACCTCACAAAATCCTCGTTGATCTTCTTACCCGATTCCTATTAACTGAAGAATAGTAGGAAACTTTATTATGATTAGTAATAATGCGGAATAAATTGCTTTTTTCGAGAAGAATTCTATTTTGTTCTTGTTTATAAATTTCTAGGCTTCATAGTGTACTTTTCTTGCACATTTCGAGAATTTTAAATTAGGAATATTAACAGGTTGGTTGTTTACGACATGAGCAGTGTATAAACTGTCCAAAATAAACGTAATGTAATCACTTTATTTTAAAGTAAACTTACTCATCATCTTAGACTTCATTCTTTATTCTGTTTTTCTGTTGTAAAGGAAAGTCATCTAATATCTTTCATTGTCATTTAACTCTCTCCTTCTTCATAAACATAAACATATTTGTATACATATTGATTCTATGTGGACATTAACCACTCTTAAATTGAAACTAACTTGGGAACAATAAATAATGTTTCCTATGCTTAACTTTGAATGTGATACATTTTATCGTTCGCTTCTGTTGTATATTTGGTCAATGACAAGCTTTGTTGACTCTTGCTCTCTCTCTCTCTCTCTCTCGGATGTTGTTCATGTTCCTTGTTCACCAAGTTGAAAACAATTAATTAACTAACTGACTAACTACCACTCTACAAATATCTATCTGTTCACATGTGTATACACTTGTATTATATTATGAATAGTGTTTACTTGCTTGTTTGTGTGTTTGTTTGTTTGTATATGCACAAAAAGGAAGTCATGTTATTATTTTCTTTCATGGAATTGTGTTTTTTAAGCATTTACCAATTTTTGTTTATTATTGAACATAAAGCATAGAATGAATTTATGTATGCCGGTAAATGTTGTTTGTACTAGATTGTATTTTGGTCTGTGAACACATCTTTTTTCATGCATAACTGATGTGTTCCAAGCAGATAGATAAACAGATAATTGCACTCAATTACTCCATTCTCGATGATTAGTTGAGGCATGAAGTTGTTGAGTGTGTCGATTTCAGATGTCTTAACAGTCCTGGTCACTTGGTGTGTTGGACGAGATCTCGGCACAAATTTAAGAAGCTTGTTTGACTTGATCAACTTTCGTTTCTTATTGTTAGTTAGTCAGTTGCAACGTAGAACTGCGTACGTATAAACATAAGTTCATGTTGCCATACCAAATTAGCACGAAGACGCAGATGTCAAATGAAATCCAATAGTGATAAAGATAGTAGAGGTATTAATGGTAATGAAAAAGACTAGGGTTTGAAGATATGATTCAAGAAGTATAATTCAGTGAAA